GAAATAAACTTGAAGCTCACCGGTACCGACCATCACCCACTGATCCACCCATGACAATACTTTCATGACCCAATACAGCTTTCAACTCAACTTGCGTCATAGAGCGGATGAGCCCACACCCCATACATCCTTCATCCAATGTACTATTGATGCTACTCTTGCTAACCCGGGGTCGAGTTCTGCCAGTCGGAGATCAGGTCTCAGCTTTCTATCTTCCCGAGTTACAGGAAGCAAGCGATAGCAAACGGTCATCTTAGACTTGAGAGTGTCGGAGCCTGTGCAGGTGAGTGATCCATCGCTCTCGATATTGTATTGTATGTCTGGTGGACGAAGGTTAAGGGGATAGCGGCGAAGTTGGAGAAATCTCACCTTCAAAGAAAACGACATCCCCTCGGCGTATAGATTCACCCCATGTTTGAGCCAAGGATCTCCATATGGTCAATCGAACAATGGATCCGTCCGCATCCGCCATGATGATCTTCAACAATCCAACCTCCTTTCCTGCATCTTTACCTTTTTTTATACGAACCATATCTGGCCCGTCGATGTCTATCACTCCCACCAAAGTGCAGACCTTTCTGGAATCGGCATTCCGAGGTGCCCGACCTTGCAACATAGACTTCAGAGCGGTGGCGCGGTGAAGCGGTATTCGAAATGTGGGCATTCTATGGATGGAAGTGTCCGAAAGCTCCGAGACGCTGTTGAAGGATATGCTCTCATCTAACGATATTGAGGGTTCTTCGGACGACGCTTGTGAAGGTAAAACCAGAGGATTCTCGGATAAGATGGTAGGCTGATTTTGATTAGGCTGAGACGCAGTACTCTGAGACGAGTCTAGGGGTTCCGAGTCGGCTAAGGTTGCCCAAATTTGTCAGTCTGGTTTCAGTCCACGCGGCTAGAGTACTTACAAGAGGAGGGTGACCCTGCACCTCGCTCAACGCCTTTCATGGTATCGTTATCCTCCTCGAAATCCATGAATATATCATTTGCATATAGTCCGGAAAATTGTTCACTAGCTTGAGTGAGAGGCTGGCTTTTCTTGGGCGCGTCCACCGCAAAACTTGGTTGAGAGAAAGTGTTGAAACTTCCTTCTTCATGGTTTTCGTGATCTTGGTTGGTCGATTGCTCTTGGCTGGGCAGATGTGGCGAGTCTACATCTTCCTGGACGCGTAGATGGGCGTCTACAGATTTCCAAATGTAATCCGAGGTGACTTTGAGTTCCTTGAAGGAAGGTGGGGGTAAGAAGACTGTGTATTGGGTCATGAAAGTATTGTCATGGGTGGATCAGTGGGTGATGGTCGGTACCGGTGAGCTTCAAGTTTATTTC